TTTGTATAAGCTTCGCCCTTTAAGGCCCTAGCTAGTGGGTTTTATCCCGTCGTGCAAAGCATCGCACTAAAAGTTTAGTCCACGCCCACCTGTTGTGTGGGCCCCACCCGGTCCGTATAAATTACATTAAGAGCGGGTAATCGGCTCCCATTTTTCTTCAGCAAGCAATTAGCACTGACCTTTAAGCAACGAGATGTCCAGCACTAACACCATTCGCCTGTGTCCGTCCCGCAAGACCGGCTACTTGTTGAGTTTCAACCGGCATGACAACTGCAAAGGATGCCTGGGTCCCTGCCACGCCGCCCTCGCCTCCTCCTGCCACCTCTGTAACCTCCTCCCCGCGGAGGAGAGGCAGAGGCGAGCAGCCTTGTTCAAGGCTAACGTCAAGGAATGCCTTTCCGTGGCGGGGGACTGTTTGCTGGATGCCGCCATCGACTTTTTTGACGCCTGCTCTCGGAGCGAATCGGATGGTTCTTCCGGGACAGGCGGCATCAGCAGCAGCCCCGCTGCTCCCTCCCTCCCAGAAAGCGTAGTGTCAGAACGAGGGGGGCCGAGCGGATGCTCACCCCTCCCAGGCCTTTCCGCCTCAGCGGCCACACCGCTCCCTGCCTTCAGTGCCCTCCTTTCAGAGCCGCCCGGCATAATCTGGGAGGCTGCTGACACGAAGGGAATTTCCGTCCCTCTCCTCTCCCCGCCCAGATCAGATGATCTAGTGGGAAGGTTTGGTTCCACCCCGGCTCGCCGTCCTGATCCCATCTGGCCTCGTTTCCCAGCAGTGATGTCCTACTGGAACAAGGCTGCAACCGGACCTGGTAAATTGAGAGCGCCCGTCTCCACATTCGCTACCATCACCAGAGTGGAGGGGTTTACCGAGCGGAACTTTCCCTCGATAACCCCCTGGAGCCGAGCCTGGCGGAAGCTTTCGGAGCGAAGTTGTCCAGGTTGGACCAGCATCCTGTTCCTCCGGGGAAGCATGACCAGACGGTGACATCGCTCTCCAATCGAACTCACCGGTGTGCGTTCCAGGCGGCTGCAGCAAACAATAACGTGGCACTGTTGGCGTACAGCGTTTCAAAGAGGCTGGAGGACACGGACCTGTTTGAGGAGACGAAGAGCTCCCTCTGCAAGGCGTCTGACGTCATCCTCAACCTGTGCACCTCCTCTGCTGTCTGGCTGTCTCACATTGCAGCCTGGATGACGATGATCCAGAGGTCCACCTGGCTCCGTCACTCCCCCTCCCTGCCGGAGAAACTGCAGAAGGACCTGATGGAAGGCCCCATCACGATGGACGCACTGTTCGGGACCAATTTCAAGGCCATGCTGGAAAAGTCGGAGGAGGTGTCAGAGACTGTGCGCCATCTGATCAAGACGCACGCCTCATCCCACCCCCTGGCCCGCCCCCTGGCCCGCTGGAAGGATCGTTGTGGCCAAAGGCAGGAACAGAGACATTCCACAGCTGCAGCAGCGTCCTCCCGCTCCGCTCTGCCGTCAGCCCCTCCCATCAGAGAACAGTCCTTCTCATCCCAGCAACCAACAGTGCAGCGTTTCCCCAGAGATTGCCAACAGGCGTTGCCCTGGGACAACAAACCGCAGGGCTCATGGGAGAGAAGATTCAAGAAATTACTCCTTGCGGGGGATGTGTGTGTGCAAAATGATGACATGAGTTTTGAAATAAAACACGAACATCATTCAAAGATTAAAGTGTTTGATTTCAGCCTTTCTGCCAGTTCGAATGAACTCACAGCGGCTTCTCCTCACACGTCCTCCACACAAAACGAGCCGGTGTCCTCAAAACAGGTTTTTAAAAATCACCGCAGCTCAAAGGAACACATAAAAAGCTTGCGTGACACAGCAGCCAAAAGTGAATGTTTTCAGCAGACCGAGTCCAGTGGGAAACCTCGCTCTCAGCCTGGGCTGCGCACTGCCTCCTCTCACCACAGCGGTGTCAAACGCGTGCTCCCGCGGCGCTGGCAGTTTTCACCCATGCGGCGCCGCGTTGATATGGGCTCGCACACCTCTCCTCAGCGCACGCCGGCTCACAGTGTGAATGTGACCCCGCAGCCTGAGCACGGCACAGAAGCGCGCTCAGAGCCCTTTCGAGAAAGCCTCCCCTTGGGTCACGTGGAGCACACCTCCGTGACACATGACGGCGGTGGAGGCTGTAACCTGGCTGACGTCCGTAAGAAACATGACGCATCACAAAAATGCGTGCCCATTCCCGAAACTTTACGCGGAGTGGCAGCGGATGTGCTCTCTAGACAGATGGATGAGCCGTCTTATCAAGCAAGGGTTATACGCTGCAGTTCGCAGTTCAACCCAGGTGCTGACGTCACACCTGTTAAATCTGGGCTTCGCCATAAATTGGGAAAAAAGCTTGATTCTCCCAGTCCAGATGATCGTTAATCTGGGAGTAAATGGTAAATGATAAATGGACTGTACTTATATAGCACCTTTCTATTTTATTTCAAGATACTCCGATATAAAAATATATTTTACAAGGTTTTAAGTTGCCTTTATGCCTATTCAAACATATATTTTGTGTTACTTATAATCATTTAGACACTCTTTGATGGTTTGCAGAGGGACGGAGGGGTGCAGTGTGTTCTCTTCAGGAATGCTTCATTAAGCTCATGAGTGGTTTTGGCAGCAGAGCTTGGCCCGTTCTGAAGTCACAGCGCTCAGTTGCCTGGGAAAACATGTTTTCAAGGTCAGGTTATTGCCTTGGTTTTGCACAACATGTTTTTATGAGATACAGACTTTCTGTCTGTCCTTCTGACAACCATCAAACTTGTTTTTCACTGCTCTCACACAATCCGGTCAGGGAGGGGTATATAAGAAATGTAACGAACACAGAGAAGTTATAAGTCTGCTGCGGACCAACGCGCGAGGTGCCCAGCTGTTGGTGTGATTCCTGTCACTCGGGTCGAAGGCTTCCCGACCACGTGTCACGGTGAGAGGCTCTCATATCAATTTGTGTGTAAAGAGTGTACAAGTGTACATGTTTGCTTGGCTGTTTTCTGTGGCAGATTAATAAATGACACTATTATTTCTAGCAGAACAGTCTCCTTGTTTTATTTCCTCTCGTGTGAATTATTGGGGCCGACCGTTCACGAACCTTTGTTAAAGAAATTTCATAAAAAAATTTTGGCGACGAGGATGGGATCTTATTAAAATAAATAAATAATTCTGAACGGCTGCACCATGTTCAAACGAAAGGAAAAAAGTGTTGAGAAAAAAGTTGATGCGAGTGCATCTGGACAAGAGTCCGCAGAGGTTGTGCCAGGTTGGGAGAGTTATCCAACTTTGGCATTGTGTTTAAGAGGTGGAGGGGGACGCCCGGAGCCTTTGTGTGAGAGTTTAAAAACAGACAAACCGGGCAATGTCTTAACCGCTTTGCAGACAATAGAGGTTAATAAGAAAGCGCCGGTGTCTGGTTTGTAGCGACGACTGTAGGTCTGTGCGACTGCATGGAAGAAAGTGTGTGAAGAATTTCAGGAGAAAGATAAACAGTGGTTACAACAGAAACAGTTGTTATCTGATGCACAGAGTGTATGTTGCAGAAACAGCATGTGCAGCTGCTGACTGTACAGCTAGATCGCATGACGAAGGTAGCCGAGGGTGCGGTCCGGCAAGTGTGCAGGCTAAAAAGAGAAAAAATGAGAAAGAAAAAGTGAGATGTTTCACCTAAACGAGTCAGAGCTTTTGTCGCACAGTTGGATGGAAGATAGGATCCATCGAGTTGGGATGGTAACATCTGGGGAGACAAGGAGGTTGTTTACTTGTCTAAAATATATAAACAACAGACTGCACAACCTACAGATGCTCGAGTATCTAGTCTGTTGGATAAAGGTGGAGGTCAGGTAGTGAATTCAGCGCATCAAGTCAGAACTTTGCAAGACTCGAGACAGTCGTTTGAAGCTTGTGCAGAGGCAGCCCGACAGATGTTTCCTGGAGCATCGGATTGGTCTGATTTACAGGGGCATTGGGTGACCCTAGGGGAGTGCGAGCAGAGATTGGTTCGGCTGTGTGTAAGGAATGCGCTCGCTGTGCGTTGGGTAGTAAATTATCA